AGAGTTCAAATATTTCCTGGTTTTCTCAAATATAAACTATGTGTTTCTTTTCAAAATATTTTCTTATGTTGGGAGATTTTAAGAGATGGAGTTAGAAAGTTCTTTACTTCAAAATTTTGAAACCAGATGTGTTGAATCTGATTTTAAGAAATTTTACCTTAATTACAAATGGTTCCCAAAGATTATTCATGAATATAGTCCCTAAAAAGCTCAAGGACATCACTGGGCTTTATATCAGATGTATCGAGTCAGAAATCTCATAGAAGAAGATCCAGAAATCTGTTTTGTTTTGTTTGTATCCCAGGTGACTACAAGGCCAAGTTGGCAAACTACTGCATGGATATTTTGCTGTGTCCTTAACCCTTCTCATGTGATGGTGACTAAACCTTTTTATCTGTTTCTCACAACAATATTCCCTCCAGACTAGCTTGTTCGCAATTTGGAACAGAAGGGAAGGATTGCAGCGATGTCAAAGGTCTATTGCATCACTTTGTTATTTGATGTACCCATAAAACTGCACCTCTCCTTTGCCTTACATTCTATTTGCAATAGGCCAAAAGTAAAGGTCTTTATCTAGTATGACTGCATTTTATTTTTCTTTGTCCAGCCTCATCCAGTGCCACTCTTTTCCCTTTTATCCAGAAGGTTCCTCTGAACACAAACATATATTCTGTACTCCAGTCACAGTGATCTTCCTGTCTTCATTCTACCATAACACATGCTATCGTAACTCCTTGTCTTTCCACATACCACAACAATAAATAGATTACTATCCCCTGTGGTGCATCTTTCTAAAAAGACTAGAATAATAGATTAGGAGAAGGTGCTCCAAAGTACATGGACCCTGTTTTCTGTTTGTTATATCCCCTCAACCCCCACACACAGATCTCCACCTTTTTTCATTCTGTTTTAATATGACACTCACCAAAAATGTCTGCCTCTTTATCTCAGCCACCTGGAGTCACAGCCCTTAAGAAAAACATGCTCAAAATCAGTGTTTTTTATAAGACACTAACACTAATAAAACCGCAGAACCACCAATTTTATTCTCTCAGGCTTGCAACTGCTGGGTAAATTAAGACATTATAGTTAGTCTGATTTTGAAACTCCATTATAAATAAAATGTGACAGCAGACTTAATTGTTGAGAATCAGATCCTTAGTTCCTTAGAACAATACTCTACCAAGAAATTTGCTGGAAAAACTAAGTGTTTTTATGGCAAACAGATCTGTCTTACCTGTCTTCTCACTGCAAACAGAGAGTTGAGTGTGCATGTAACTTAATGTCAGCCCCTCATCCACTCACCAGGCAAAATTCCAAGGACATGAAGTCAAAGTGGTCATCATATGATACACAACTGAATTACGCTTTCCTTTGCCACACATAAAAGGGGGCAAAGGTGGAAAATAGGCTAGGCTTAGAAATTAAAAAGGACACTGTCATTTTGCAGGGAGCTTGAATTAGAATAGGGTCATCATGAAATGACACTTTCAATGACCAATTCAGAGTCAATGAAAATACCAGATAGTATTTGTAAAGCCATGGCCTCTTGAAAAGCATTCTAAAGAAATTGCTTAGGTGTCTATGTGTGCATAATTATTTATTCTCAGAAATATAGGCCAGTTCTCTCTGAGCACATACTCAAATCACAGCACACAGTAACCCACAGGCCTGGGGGCAGTCAAAAACAAAACATGCAGTTCGCTTTGTAGGTCAAATTCCAAAGCTAAGAAACCTTGGAAATATGTCTAAATGTTCCCACCCTTGAGAATAGAGGGCTTAGGAGGATGTGGTCATATAATCTAGAGGTCATTTACAGAAATACCCAGGATCCTATAGGAGTTGAAAAGACCACTTAAGAGACCCTTAAAGATCAAGGACCCCGTAAATGGGGATTAATGAATTTGGAAGACAATGAAGTACTAAGAGATGAGTCAACATTCAGGCCTTAACTTGAATAAAGGGGTAAAAAATTATTAGAATGTGACTTCCAGACTATTTGTCCACTGGGTTTCACCATCTCTGGTGCAGATATGGCCCCTTCCCACATAATTCAGCACTGGGCCAAGTGTGAGTTTCTGACAATTTGCAGAATTCATGCCAATCAGAAACTAGAAATCACATGGGAATTTGAGTGAGAGCTGGCTACTGAGGACCTAAATAAATGCTTATGGGATCAAGTCAATAATATATATTTGCATATCTAAATTTTCATAATACTTAATTTGCTTATATTTGCAAACCATATAACATAAGAAGCTATAAAATGTATATAAAATTTAGTGTTTATAACATTTGTAACTCTCTCCCATTTAATTTTCACTTCCATGTAGTCTGGGCAGAGATTGTTAGTTCCATTTTACAAATGGGAAAGTTGAGGCCCAGGAAAGGTTGAAAGGAATGATCTGAGATCACGTAGTTGAGACCTGAGATTCCAAACTAACTTTTTAATCTCAAAAATCAAAGTGGTTTTTTAATCAAGAAAAATTGTATTTGAACCAATTCTAAATTTTTCCATGCTTTTTCTCACTTACATCTTTACCTCACATCTTTTCACATAAACATAATTTAGCTATTTAAATAATTTCAGTATTTAGGGCTAAGGGATACCAACCATGTTCCCAAATACCAGCACCACTAACACTGTGTTAGAGCCATCTGCAAAAATGGCCAATGTTACATGAACTGAGCCTTCACCTTTAACTGAATCTAAAGTGTTAAATTCTGTGAGAAGTGACATCCTACAGAATGCACAGCATTTTCAACATTTTCCCATTATGGGTTCCAAGCCTCACACCCTGACTGCATTAGTGCAAACATAGGGGCTGATATCCCCACTCTAGCCATCTCTAACAGAAAGTGGCCTTTGGGTGCCTGCCTGAAATAAATGGGGCTGGACAAGCACACTGGTCTTTCCTGTAACCCCAGAAACCAGAGATATTCCTCCCACAGTGATTTTGTGTGCAGCAGTGAGTACATGAATCTTGGATGTTGTTTCAAAAGGAACCATGAGCCATTTATTCTTAGCCTGAAATTGGCAGGCTTTACATTTTGGAGAATTTTTAATAGGACTAGCAGAGGAACCAACATTAGGGATTATTTTCTCAGTGTGGGGTTAGATGTGTAATGCATATGTTTGCCCTGAGGACCCCAAGCCACGTACTGTAAACCTCTGTTAAAATGCCTTTCTCCGCAACTATTAACATTTTCCTGTGCATATTGTTCATTTATAATACTCCCAGCCAAAAGTTGAGAAAGCTATGTTCCCCCATAGACCATTATTTTTGTGCTAATTAATTAGCAAAACCAATATCTCAGCTATGAGATTCCAAGCGCTAGCTACTCAGTTTGGCTGAAAATCTGTTTTTCTAATTATTGACTACTTTCTGCTACTTTAAGTCCGCCACCTAAGTTCTTGGACAGAGCTAGCTTCTGGGAGCAGGGGATGTCTCCAATGGCAACACAGTTCCACACTGAGTGGTGGAGTGGGAGGGAGGGACTGCAGCTGTTGGAATCACTGTGGATTTGGGAGGAAGTAAGAGGAAGAAAAAGAGGAGATTTGTAGGACAGACCTAAAAAGGAAAAGACTACGACCTTTTGAGAAAATTTCAGTGAGGTGCAATTCTCTCAAGTTGCTAATACACTTAAACGCTCTTAAAGAGAACATAGTATTAAGAATACATAGCAAGGAGATAATGCGTTAGACTCCTCTGGAAAATAATTCTGCATACATATTCTTGTGTCCGTAGGCTCTTGATTGTTTGGTTTTATTTCTGAATTCTTGGAGCAGACTATATTTTTATTTATAATTTGATAGGAATTTAGGCAGATTGTTTTCTCATTATTTCCAGTATTTAAAATTTACATTGCCTATCTGATTGCTTACATTTGGAGATATACAGATACAGATATGGATATACACACATATAAACAGATACAAATAGATATAATCTCTCAAGGATTTTCTGTCTGATTATGATTGTTTTTATAAGGGTAAGAAGGAACAGAGCAGTTACTAATACTCTTTGAGCATTAAGCACAAACCATGCCTCTGGGCACTGGACTATGTGTTCCATCTCATTCTAACTTTATAACAACGAAAGAAGAAAGAATGATAGTCCCTAGGTAACAGATGGGAATACTGAAGACTAGAGAAGTTACGTATGTGACTAAGGTCTTAGTATGTGGTAGAGATAAGACTTGAACACAGATTTGTCTAGAAGAACACCGAGGCTCTTTCTCCTAAAACATGTTACTTAGAAAAACACTTGCACAACACACATATGAATATGTTTGTTCTTAAAAGTTTGTTCTTAAAGTTCTCCTTTTAATTTCTTATCATGAACATTTACTTTTAACTCCTAAGACCAGTCTCTGAGTGCGTACAAATGTATTATTGTCATAAGACATCTTTATACTTGTCAAATGGGAAAGATCATTTCTTAAGAGCAGCCAGCTATAAGTAGGGAGTTTTAAAATTAAAGTAGAAATTTTCGGGTGTGATAGGCTATAAGAAGGGGAAAGTGCAACAGAAATAAAACAGTTTGAACAAGAAGCATCAGAGACCAAAATCACGTTTGGGGGATGAGGGGTGGGGTTGATGTTTGGTGGTTTGTTTCTTTTTTTGCTAAGGGCAATTTTTCTTGGGAATCCATCCCACCCCTTCAATATTTGGTGCCCTTGTAAGCACACATTAAGATCAGAGATTTCCTAAGTTCACAATATAGCTCTACTGCAATTAATTCTCCAATAATCTGATAATTTATTAGCAATAATAACCAGCAAGGACCAAGAGCTTAACTCCTTATTTTCCTTACTTCCAGATGATTTCTTCAGCTTTCTTTCTTTCTTTATTCATTTATTTATTTATTTTTGAGACAGAGTTTCACTCTTGTTGTCCAGGTTGGAATGCAGTGGCGCAATCTCAGCTCACTGCAACCTCCGCCTCCTGGGTTTAAGCAATTCTCTGCCTCAGCCTCCTGAGTAGCTGGGATTACAGGCATGTGTAACGAAGCCCAACTAATTTTTTTTGTGTGTGTATTTTTAGTAGAGACGAGGTTTTGCCACATTGGGCAGGCTGATCTTGAACTTCTGATTCCAGGTGATCCACCCGCCTCTGTCCCTCAAAGTGCTGGGATTACAGGTATGAGCCACTGCACCTGACCTGATTTCTTTAGCTTTCAATAGAACCTTGAATGCTTTTGTCAGGAAAAACAACTCAACTGGCACCCCTTAAGGAATCATGAAGGATATTTTATCATCATTTGCATGTTGGGCATTTCCCAAATTTTAATTATCCTTGAACCACTTGTATGATTTTTAACATCTTATACTACAGGTTTAGTGTTATTTAATATTTTTTATATTCGACCCCTATTTTTACTGGTGTGTATTTGGCTCCATTTGTTTTTTTGATGATAGCTGAGTAGTTTATTGAATTGTCTCAGCTTGGAGGAGTAAAAACATGTTATAGTTTTATTTTTCTTGAATCACTGCCCCTGGTACTATGTCAAATCTCTCTAACCCCTGGAAAAAGTACTGAATCCTGTCTTGGGCAGATTTCAAACTCTTTCAGGTGCTTTTGGTTATGAAAGTTGCAATTGTCCATTTTTGGTTTTTAGTTATAAGCCAATATAAAGTTTATTTTCTACTCCATTGAAACATACTGATTTAACCACTACAGTCCAGGTTACTGGCATCAGACTTGAAGGAGGAGAGGGCAAAATTGACTCTTACTCTTTTTCAGTATTCGTTGACCTTGGATTGGCAGATATATTATCTTCTCCATCCTCCTCTCTGCATTTTTAAGGCCTCGTTCTGTAGACATCCTCTTGGAGTTAGCAGTCTCTGTCCTGTGGCAGTTGTGAGTCTTTGTGTGTGCAGGCAGCAAGCAACTCTAGCTCAGTATCCTCCAAATCTCTCCAGCTCTCTTCCCCATCAAAACACCACATGACATCCTTTTGTATTTTAACACTTCAGTGGTTTTTAGAATATTCACTCTATTGTGTAGTTATCACCACTATATGTTTTAAAAGAAAGCTTTATATCACAACCATAAAATTTTTTTAAAATGCATCATTTGTCCTAATTAGAAGGTAATAGTAGAAGAATATTACAATGAATGCAAAACTGTGTTATTCATTCTTTGTTGCTACATGGTGCTGCCACTTGAAGTCTTTGGGCTTGAGATATACTCTCCTTGCTAAGGAGAGATGTCATTGAGGGCTACATTGATGTCAGAGCAAGTGAGATTTTCTTCATTCTCATGAATCATCAAAAGGATTGAAAGTGAAAAAATATTTTTCAAACATGTGATTTCATAACTGAATTATTCAATGTTAAGTCCACTTAAAAATCACCAGACATGTGTTGTACACTTAAGGAAAACATTGTGTCAGGTATTTCCTGCTGTGTTTAGACCTGTTTCACCAACCCCCCAGGATCCCTGTGCTTTCCTCATTTTCCTTACCCCTTTTCATATTTGGATCTCAACAGCTCCGCCATTCCAGCCATAGCAAATGGCACATGGAGAATAACTAAGGAACCCAGCCAACAACAAGAACTGAGGTCTCAGACATAGGGGCCCGGTTGAGTAGTCCCAGCAATTCCAGCCATTCTAGCCATGCCAGCCAAGATCCAATCACTGGAGCAGAGGTGAGTGGCCAACTGTACCATTCCTTAATTACTGACCCACAAACTTGTATGTATAGTAAAATGGTTATTGCTTCTTGGTACTAGATTTGGGGGTAATTTATTATACAAAATTAGATACCCAAACCATAAATTCATAGGGTGACTATTTTCCCATGTTTGCTCAGAACAGCCCCAGTATACACCTGTTGTCCCAACATAACTATGATTGATTAGTGCTGGTTTCATTCACCCTTTCAGGCATCCCAGTTTGGATGACAGTTATATGTTCACTCTTCTAATATGCCACATTGCCATGTTCTGTACTCAAATTATGGTCTTGCCAAATGTCTAGTCTTAGAGTGTCTTAAAGTTTGCATAACAGGGAGCCGAATGTTGCCTGCTTCTGAATTTGGACTACCAGTTGTGACTGAGCATACATATTGCTCTCAAGAAAAATTCAGAATTCTTTAAGTGTGCCTGAAAGAAAATAGATATTTAAAATATATATTTTATAAAAAGATTTCTCAACTGGGGACACTGAAAAGACCACATACGAAAATGTTATTTACATTGTGATGCCTAGTAACAGAAGAAACAAGAGTAAGGGAGAGAAAACAAAAAATTTTGCCATGTTTCAATCTTCATTGCCACACATTATTGAAAGAACCCAAACCAACAGACACTACTTTCAAGACTAACAGGCAAATTAAGGGTTCAAAGACAAAGGACGACAATGTTGTTCATGTTTACTAAAACCTGTTACTTCTTCATTGCATCTATATAGCAAGAACAATTACATGTATTATTTCATTTAATTTTCATGGCAGCCCTGTGAGGTGGGTACTATTCTCTCTGTTTTACAGATGAAGAAATGGAGGCTTAGAGAGTTAAGTAATCTGCACAAACAATCTATGTTGATAATAGAAGAGGCAGGACGTATACCCAGGCAGTCTGATTCCAGATCCTGTTCTCTTAGTCTTTGACACCTACCGTCACTCTATTCAAACATAACATCGAGAAATTAATTTGTAAGCAGCTAAAAGATCATAAAATACTAGACAGAATATATATTATTTTGTGAAAAAAATGATTCTATATTTTCTAATTATTTCTTTCTGAGGAATCTATTTCTCTTCTATTACAATCTGATCAGTCTTCTAGGAAAGCAAAATAAAAGACGATTGGGTACACTCTCTGTGGTAAATAACAATTTTAAGATTCTTGACAATCTACCAATATTTAGAAATATTTCACTTAGATTATATACTAATTATACCTACATATTCTACTGCTTAGAATGTACGTTATTTATAAGAGGTCATTGTTAAGCAGTTATTAGTTCTACAAGGGCTGGTCCTTGGCTTGATATTTTTCAGTTTTTTTTTTTCTTTTCCTTTTAGCTGATGTAGTAAGTACACATTTTTCTGGAATACAGAGTAAAATTGCAATACATGTATAAAATGTATTATGATCGAATCAGCATAATTAGCATATCTATCACCTCAAACATTTATCATGTCTTTGTATTGGGAACTTTAAAATCTTTTCTTCTAGCTGTTTGAAAATATACAATAAATTATTACTAAATTCACCTTACATTGCTATAGAACACGAGAACTTATTCCTTTCATCTAGCTATAATTTTGTATCTATTAACCAACTCCTCATTATCCTCCCCTCCCCTTCTGCCCTCTCCAGACTCTAATAACCACGATTTTACTATTTTCCTCTCTACTTCTGAGCTCAATGCTTTTTAGCTCCCTCCTGAGAGAGAACATGCAGTTTTCATCTTTTTGGACTCGACTTATTTCACTTAACATGATGTCCTCCTGACTCATCTATGTTGTTCCAAATGACAGGATTTTATTCTTATGGCTAAGTAGTGTGTGTGTGTGTGTGTGTGTGTGTGTGTGTGTGTGTAATGTATGTATGTATATGGCACATTGTCTTTACTCACTTAGGTTGATTCTATATCTTGGTTATTATGAATAGTGCTGCAATAAACATGGAGGCACAGACATCTCTTCAATATACTGATTTCCTTTTCTTTGGATAAATACCCAGTAGTGAGATAGCTAGATCATATGGTAGTGTTATTTTTAGTTTTTTTGAGAAACTTCCAAACTGTTTTCCATAATAGCTGTACTAATTTACATTCACACCAACAGCATATAAAAATTCCTTTTCTCTGCATCCTTTTCAGCATTTGTACTTTTTTAAATAGTAGCCATTCTAACTGGGGTAAGATGATGGATCATTGCGGTTTTGATTTGCATTTTCCTGATGATTAGTGATGTTGGGCATGTCTTCTATACTTCTTGGTGGTTTGTATATCTTCTTTTGAGAAATGTCCTTTTTTAAATCAGATTATTTGTTTCTTGTCTGCTGTCGAGTTTCTTGTATATTATGAATATTAATGCCTTGGACAAATAACTTAGAAATATTTTCTCTCATTCTAAAGGTTGTCTTTTTATTCTCTTGCTTTCTCTGCCATGCAGAAACTTTTTAGTTTTATATAGTCCCATTTGTCTAGTTTTGATTTTGTTACCTATTCTTCTGGTCTTGCCCATGAAATCTTTGCCTAGAACAATGTCCTAATGTGTTTTCCCTATTTTTTTCTAGTAGTTTTATAGCTCTGAGTCTTGCATTTCAGTCTTTGAGTTGATTTTTTTATAGGTTGAAAGACAGGGGTCTAGTTTCATTCTTCTGCATATGGATATCCAGTTTTCCTGGTACCATTTATTGAAGTTATTCTTTTCTTAATGCATGTTCTTGGCATCTTTGTCAAAAACCAAGTTAGCTGTAAATATGCAAACTTATCTCTGGGTTCTGTATTCTGTTCCTTTGGTTTATGTGTCTGTTTTTATACCAATACCAGGCTATTTTGGTTACTATAGCTTTGTAGTATATTTTAAAGTCAGATGATGTGATGCCTCCAGCTTTGTTCTTTTAGCTCAGTGTCTCTTTTGGTTCCATGCAAATTTTAGGATTTTTTTTCTATTCCTCTAAGAAATATCCTAAATATTTTGATAAAGATTACATTGAACCTATATATTTCTTTGGGTAGTATAATGATTTTAATAATATTAATTCTTTTTTATGTTCTCTTCAACTTTTTCATCAGTGGTTGGTACTTTCATTGTAGATATTTCACCCCACTGGTTAAATTTATTCCCAGTTATTTTTTGTAACTATTATAGTGGAATTCATTTCTTTATTTCTTTTTCAGTTGGTTTGCTGTTGGTTTATAAAAACACTACTGATTTGTATATGTTGACTTTTTTATCCCACAATTTTCATGAATATGTTTCCTAGTCCTAAGAGTTTTTGATGAAGATTTTGGGATTGTCCATATATAAGATAATGTCATCTATAAAGCAGGACAACTTGACATTCTCTTTTCTAATTTGGAAACCATTTCTTTCTCTTGCCTAATTTCTTTGGCTAAGATGTTCAGTACTATGCTGAGTAAGAGTCATGAAAGTGAACATCTTTGTCTTATTCTAGTTCTTAGAGGAAAAGCTTTCAGCTTTTTCCTATTCAATATGATGTTAGCTCTAGGTTTGTCATATAGGGCCTTTATTATGTTATGTTTCTTCTATAACTAATTTATTGAGAGTTTTCATCATAAATGGATGTTGAATTTTATCAAATTCTTTTTCTGAATCTATTAAGATGATCATATGGTTTTGGTCTATTTATTCTATTGATGTGATATGTCATATGTTGAATCTTCTTGCATCCTTAGAATAAGGTGTATTAGCTTTTTGATGTGCTATGGATTAGATTTGCTGATATTTTGTTGAGGATTTTTGAATTTATGTCCTTTTAGTCTGTTTTCTGTTGCTTTTAACAGAATACCTGAAACTGGGTAATTTACAGAGAAAATATTTATGCCTTACACTTATGGAGGTTGAGAAGTCCAAGGTTCAAGGGGCTATATCTGTTGAGAGGCTTCTTGCTGACAGGAGCTCTCTTCATAGTTCCAAGGAGGAACAGTATATTAAATGGCCAAGGGAGCTGTGTGTGCTAGCTCAGGTCTCTCTTCCTCTTTTTACAAAGTCATCAGTTCCTCTCCTTTGATAACCCATTAATCTATTAACCAACTGACTCATGAATTAATTAACTGATTCATGAGTGCAGAATTCTCATGACCCAATCACCTCTTAAAGGTGCCATCTATCAATACTGCCACATTGGAGATTAAGTTTCAACAACAGATGGGGTGCAGTGACTCACACCTGCAATCCCAGTATTTTTGGAGGCTAAAGCAGATGGATAGTTTGAGCCCAGGAGTTTGAAGCCAGTGTGGACAACATGGAAAAACTCTGTCTCTACAAAAAATAAAAAAATTTAAAAAAATTAGCCAAGCATGGTGTCATGCACTTGAAGTCTCAGCTACTTGGGAGGCTGAGGTGGGAGGATTCCTTGAGCCCTGGAGGTTGAGGCTTCAGTAAGTCATAATCATACCACTGCACCTGCACTCCAGCCTGGGTGACAGAGCGAGACCCTGTCTCAAAAAAAAAAAAAAAAAAAAAAAAAAAAAAGCTTCAACGTCAGTTTTTAGGAGACAAACATGTAAACCATTCTGTATGTTCATAAGAAATATGGGCCTGCCCTTTTCTTTGTTGTGTCTTTATCTGGTTTTGGTATCAAGGTAATTCTAGCCTTGTAGAATGAGTTAGAAAGAATTCCCACCTCTTCAATTTTATAAAACAGTTTGAGAAGAATTGGTGTAGTTCTTTAAAAGTTTGGTACGCTTCAACTTGAAAGTCATCTCATCCTGGCCTTTTCCTTGTTGGGAGACTTTTTATTATTGATTCAATCTTGTTACTCATTGACCTGTTCAGATCTTCTATTGCTTTCTGGTTTAGTCTTGGTAGGTTATATGTGTCCAGGAATTTATCCATTTCCTCTGGGTTTTTCAGGTTGTTGGCATATGGTTGTACATAATAGTCTGTAATGAGTCTTCGGATTTTTTTGGTATCAGATGTCATGTCTCCTTTTTTGTTCACAATTTT